AATAGATGGCCGACTCTGGAGGTCAGCCCCAGCTGACTCAGGTGAGGCCCCGCTGCCATCTGGGGATGGGATATTAGTGTTACTGAACTATATACCTTTTGCCATACATTCCATCCCCATCCTGCCACACAGCCTTGGGCTCCTCATTGTCTCCCTCTCGTCTTACTTCCCCAGCCAGGCAAGCTGACAGAGGCCTTCAAGTACTTCCTGCAGGGCATGGGCTACAGTGAGTATGGGGGTCAGAGGCTATCATGAGGACAAGGGATTGCTGCAAGGATGAGGGATGGTCAGTAAGGGGAGAAACCATTTTAGGCTAATTCCTGGACTTACTACTATCTGTCAAATAGAGCTCACGGACCACCCCCCAGCCCCATTTGTAACTCTTGCACCCCACTTGAGTTGCCAGCCTCTTTTCTCCACCTCCTCTCTGACTGCCTGCATATCCTCCTGTCTCCACAGTGGCCTCATCCTGCATGACTCGCCTATCTCGGTCTCGCACAGCCTCCCTGACCAGTGCAGCATCTATTGATGGCAGCCGGTCTCGCTCTCGAACCCTATCACAGAGCAGCGAGTCTGGGACTCTCCCTTCAGGGCCCCCAGGGCACACCATGGAGGTCTCCTGTTGAATGGCCCATGTTGCCCTGGTGTGGGACCCAGCCCCCACCTCCCCCAGCACTAACCTGGGAGGTGGATAGGGCATTGGGCCAGAGTGAGCAAGGGAAGATGGGCAGATCATGTGGAAATATGACCTTGATCTTTGATTGCTACCCTAACCTTGACCTCTAACTTGTGATTCCCCTCAGCTCCTGGGAGAGCTGTCCTAATATCTCTTAGGGACCCAGAGCCCTCAATGAGAGCTATCCCCTCCCTCATTCTGGTGTTAAGGTGGAGAGGGGATGAATCTCCTCTCCTTAATCTAGGTGTCCATAGATGAGGGATAAGGGTTGTTGTAGTTGTCCATGGTGCCTACCCCAGATTGTCCCTACTCATCCCGTTGCGAGGGTAAGGGACTTGGTGCTGGGTCTCCATTCACCAAAGTGGATATGGCTTCTCATTAACCCTTCAGATTTCTGAAGGATATGGGCCTAAATGAATGTGTCAGGGAGGCTTGCTGGTGGGTTAGTAGTCCTCAGGATGTGATAGAAATATCCAGGGTGTGAATGGAAGTTGGACTGGGAGGTGGTAGGCAATGAACAGGTTTGAGGGAAGTATTGGAGCTGGGGCAATGGGAAGGGGCCTGGGGCCATTGGCTGCACTAACTTTGGTAGCTGTCTAGACAGTGTGTGTCTAGAGTGGGGGGGTGGAGGGGGCCAAGCTGGGGCAAGGCTGCTTGGGGCTTGGCATACGGGTGGGAAGGGCTACCTGGGGCTCTGACCAGAGTGTGTTATGGGTGGAGGGTGCTCTTCTGTCTCCCACAGCTTCTGCTGTAACAATAAACTGTAGAGGAATCTGAGCACCGTTTTTATTCTTTGTCTCGGTGTGCCTGCATCCTGCCCCTTTCCTACCTTCTCCGGGCCCAGCTCTCAGTCTCTTCTCCTAGTGACATAACCACGGGAGGGGCTAGTATAGCACAGACATTTCACAAAATGTGACTTCATAGTCATTGGCCATGTTCAGTAGAATGGTATTGTCCTTGATATCGATAGTATCTTCATGTCTTGTGAGAGGCGCTACCTAGAAGACTTCCATATCAGTTACTGAGAAGCACCATAGGATTTCAGAGATGTCACCAATATGATCTTAAAGAAGGAAGGACAGAAAGCTGACTGAAGTGTCCAAGGACATCTTTTGACCACCTTTGTGCAGGATCCTCTGGGAGGTCACCTAGATTCCATTTTAGGTGGTTCAATAAATCAGCAGGCCACGCCTCATGCAGTTTCTAGAGGGCTTGTTGGGTCTCCAGTGGATCCCAGTCTGAAGGCTCCTTCAGGTGAGCCACAGCAACCAGGGCTTCCCCTCAGGAATTCCTCCTCCCATACCAATCCAAGAATCTGGGAGTTAATTAGACTATGTGTATGGTTCTCTGAGAAGGCTCTCAACAAGTATCAACAATAATCATGAAGAAAACTTCAGATATTGTGGCCATTGCAGGCTGATTCTTGGGCTCTTGAGGCACAAGAAGGGAAAAGGAGAAGGCAGTTTATAGTACCATTGGCCAGAATACTGTGGATGGAATGTTACACGGTCATTTGCCAGATTATAGAAACCCACAGGCAATTATACGTCTCCTCTGAAACTGAGCTGACGACTAATGCAGCCTGACGTCTAGTGCTGATGTGCTGACGTGGAAGCAGGGCATGGAACATGCTCTTGGTTCTTGAGCATTTCATCACTCTCATAGGACCAAGTCTATTTTAAATGCGGCAGGCCAGGTTCAGAAGGGGTGAGGGCATTGGGTGACCACACATAGGGCAGGTAGCAGGTGCTTAATGTGGCAAAATTGGAATCATTGGCCCAGCTAGCTTCTAGGTAAACAAAACACGAAGAAAAGGCAGAGAACTCCAAACAGCATCAGCCACGACTGCCGATAGCTGCTGCTGGGCATTATGGAAGAAGGGAAGATGGGTCTTCTCAGCACATTAAACTGCATAGATAACACTGTTGTGTTAGCAGAATAATCTTCAGAAGGAGAAAAGCTCATTCCTGTGAACCTATGTGGGTGGGTGTGAATGTGGCTGCCATGGGGACAGTGTGAAATGGGTGACCATGTGTGTCTCTGCTGTAGGTGTCTCTGTACACAAAACCCAAGAGTTAGGAAGAGGGAGAGATGCTCTCTGCTGGGAGCAAGGGAGAGGGGTTTGCTGTCCTTGACTGACCTCTCTACTTCTTGGTCCCAGACATTGCAGGCGAGTCCATGGGGACGCAGTGCCCCCCTGTGGTTGGCATGGTTCTTCCTAACTTTCCCCAGTTCCCAGTTCCCTTCCTCAGTCTCCCATTGTTCTTGGCGATTCTACTTCAGGGAGATAGGGAGGGCCTGACAACCACAATTGCAGCTCCTGCCCATTCTCAAGATCAGAGCTCAGAGGCTCAGAGAAGAGGAGGGGTGACTTCACAGAAGCTGAACCACAAACTCTCTACTTTTCATTTTTGCTTCAGCTTAGGACTCCTGTTTCTCCCTTCCTCTCATTCTCAAGGAATGCATTTCCCTGACTTTAGGGGCATTAGTGCAAGATGGCTAAGAGAGAGTCAATGGGAAGGAGAATAAAACAGAAGAATACAGTGATGAGAGCCTTGAGGTGTCAGCTTGAAAACTGTGGAACTTATCAAGAGATGTTAAAGCGCAATTCTCTGAAGGTACCCAAACAGTGAAACTGTGGCAGGCGGGATGGATGTGAAGCTTTAGAGCACTTCTTGCCCAGCTGCTGCAGGCTGGCTGTGCTCCTCTACCAAAGGCTGCAGCTCTCAGTGGATGGCTCTCTGGAGTTTCTGTAACCAGCTAGCTCCTGGGGCTCCTTCTCTCCAGCCTGGGTACCAGCATCACTGTTACTCAGCCCCAGGGTGTTGCACCAGCACTTGTTGCTCTGTCCCAACCCTGCCCATACCTTCTACACAGTCCCTGTACTAAACTTGCCTCAATTATTCAACGTGCTTTCTGCTTTCTCCAGAGACACTAATATACCTGACAGGAGGTACCAGTAAAGTAAAGGTAGGGAAGGTAAAGACAGAAAGGAGAGGAGAATCTATACATTGAGCTTTTCTTAGCATCACAGAAGCATAGGTTTGAAGCTCAGTTAGTTATGTGATCAAGTTATTTAACTTTGGAGTAATTTCCCTGGACTCACAATGGGCATAACATCTACCTGGCAGGATTGGGAAGGGGAGACAATGCATGTGGGAGCGACAGCAGAGTGCCTGGCACATGGCGGGTGCTCAGTGCGGAAACTATTATTACGACAACATCCTAGGCCCTGTTCTGAGTGTTTTACGTGTGAGTGTGCTTAACAGTGAAGGGAAGCAGAACAGGATGGTGCTTCAGGGAAATTATTTCCTGTGTCAGAGGTTTTAGTTTGGTTTTGCCTTTAGCTTGGCTTTTCACTGACCCCTGGCTGTGTAAGCTGGGCTGGTGAAGAGGTTTACACATCTTAATTTGTGGGGAGGGGAATGGGATGGACAGAAGACAGAAACGAAATGAGATGAGAGTGTAACTCAGGAGACCTTGCCCGTGTTGAGGCCACTTGGGCTGCTACACTGAGTGAACACAAAAGGGCACATGGGTGAGCGTGCCTGAGCTCACAGGACACACCTTCCCTGTCTGTCTCTCCTCCGAGTCTGAGACGTTCCTCCATCCCACGGGCCAGGGGCTGGGCAGCAGTCGTCCCACTCCTCCTCAATTTGAGATATCCGGTTTTTGTACTTGTGCAGTTTTTATGAGAAGCAACACATTGTAGGGTTACTCACCTGAAAGACAAATGGTCTGGGGGGAGGGGCCAGAGGCACAGTGGCAGGTAGGGCAGGCCCAAGGAAAACTACCTTGCAGGTCACAGAGCCAAGTAACTGCCCTTGGAATCTCTCTGGCGCCTTTCTCCCTTTCCAAACACACTGCTTCTTAATCCCGCAGCACAAAGCAGATGGAGGAAGACAGAGGCTCAAAGAACATGTACCCAAGGCCACACAGAGCTCAGTGTGAAAAACAGAAACCAGATGGAAGGAGGCTCCATGGAGCTTGATCTTGAGAGTCTGCAGGACATGTGGGTGGCTGATAATAGGTACTGGGAGTGGAGTGGGTGTGGCTAGTGTAGGAAAAAATCTAGATCCCCACGCTTTGTTTTTACACCTGTTCTCTAAATGCTGGGAACTCTGGCTCAGAACCTCAGCACCAGTAGGCAAGGTGAGAGCTGCGGTTGGAATTTCAGCAATGCTGCCGTGTCTGTGGGGCATGGCTGCAAATGACAGAGTGGCTGGGGGCCCTGATTCCAGAGGAGGAGACTCACCCTTCCCATTACACGGGGCAGCTCTTAGGTAACCTGGAGGAATGAAGCATAGCATGGTTGAAGGGGGAGGGGAAAATGGACATTTTATTACACATAGCAGCAAAAATGGAACAAGAGTCAAATTTGGAGTGGTGGTCTTTGTACCAATTCCCCAGATAATAAGCACTCAGCCAAACATACACATCCTGTTCCCAGTACTGGATGAGCAGAGGCATCTCATGAGGAAAACCTGGGATCCAGTTCATGCGGATGATGCCTAGTGAATGCTGCTTAGTCTCAGCAAAGAAATGTCTGAGGGCCAAAGCCATCTGGGGGTGTCTGCTGGTGGTGGGGACACCCTTCTAGATGGGTCTGCGGGAAAGTCAGGAATCTCTCAGGCCCACAAAGCAATGAAGGCCATGAAGGCAAAGCCAGCAGCTACACAGCCCCACTTGAGCAGAGGGCCCTCAGGACCAGCTAGCTCCCGGGGCAGAATTTCTAGGAAGGTGACATATAAGAAGGTGCCAGCTGCCACACCCTCTAACACAGCCTGGGCTAAGCCTCGGCCCCCTTCAGCATCCCGTCCAACCACAGCCAGCCCCAGGGCGAGGCCCAGGGGGGACATGAGAGCAAATGACAGTATGGAGAAAACAGCCCATCGTGATCCAGTGCCTCTCTGCACCAGCCGCAGTCCTACCCCAAACACTATGAGTCCCTTGTGAGCCAGGACAGCAAGACAGAGCTGCACGGTGGCTGCTACTGTTGTCTGCAGTCCCACGGCCAGGCCTTCAAACACTGAGTGGAAGGAGAGTGAGAGCAGGAGGACGAGGGCTCGAAAGGGACTCCTCGAGGGTGAGGGTGGAGGTCCGTGACTGTGGAGTCCAAGGACACGAGCCCCACCCATCTCCTCCTCCTGCACTTTTGATCCTCCATCGGCTCCACGACAGCCCTGCAATGCCAGCGACTCCAAAAGGAAGATGAGGAAGAAACCCAGGGAGATGACGAGCTCTCCGTAGGGATAGTCTGTCTGGGAACAGAGAGAGGGGCTGTGGGTCGGGGGAAGGAGTGCAGTGCAGTGGGTAGAGATGGGATGGGAGACTGGAGAGAATGGAAAAGTGGGACTAGAACATTAAAAAGTGGGAGGGGGGATAAAGTCCCAAGGAGATATGGACATGCAACAAGAATACCAGAGGGACCAAGGGACACAGTGTCAGCAGATCTGAAATACGGGAATGCGATAGGGAGCACGTCTAAGGGACCAGGGAAAGAAGGAAAGAGTGAAGCAAGAGGTTTGTCTGGGGTTCCATAAACCCAAAAAGATTGGGTTGGCTCCTCCATTCCCTAGTTATTGAGGTGAGGAGCAGAGGGACTCCTGGTATTCCTCACATCCTTGCCTCAAAAGGGCCTGGGTATGAGGAGTCTCTGGTTCTCCTCACCCTCCAGGTTGGGTGTGGGAACTACTTACATAAGCTGAATTAGCATCACCAGAGGAATAACCCTCACTCTCTGTCCTGTTCTAGGGAGAGAAAAGCAGAAATTAGATGGGGGATGGAGCAGCTCAGCTTCCTGTCCTCCAGCTCCACTGCTTTCCTTAAAGCTCAGTGTGACCTGTCTTCGTCATTCCACAGAACACAAGAGCTGTCATCTTTCCTACCAGGCCACCCGTGTCCTTGGCTCCATCACTTTCCCCTTCTCCCCTTGGTTCTCTCATCATTCTGGCCTCTCAGCCCTGCTACTCAGCTGCTCACCTGCATCATGAACTTCTGGATCTCCGATTCAATTCCCTCCAGGGCCTCAGCAGTCATGTGCATGAGCCCCGCGCCCAGGAAAACACCAGCAGAAATGCAGCCCAGGAGGCTGAGGACCTGGCGGTGATGACCTAATGAAAAGCAAGAGTGACAATGCAGCAGGCAATGAGTCACTGAGATGGACACAGGCGACTAAAGAGCAAGAGGCAGCACCCAACATCCAAGCTTGGGGTGGCAAGAGAATCAGAGCAAGGTGTCAGGATAGGGTGACAGGGTTGAAGTCAGACTTAGGTTATGGGGCCAAAGATGCAAGAGGGCTATACCTGTGGCTGCCTCAATCTGGAACCATTTGAAGCAGATGGGAATAAGGCCACAGACGAGAGTGAGAGCCAGCAGGGCAAATAGGCAGCCAATTTTTACTCCTATTAGTAGTTCCATCCTTGGGGTACAGGCTAAGCAGAGGCCTCAGATGACAAATGGAGTTACAAGCTTTAGAACAGGAGTGGTGCCTTGGGTGGTCAAAGCCGCGGTGTCCACTCCCCAAGTTTCAGGAGGCTGTTGGGTCCTGTTTGGTGCTGCCTCTGCTTACGCAGCCTTGCATAGCTGACTGGGGCCCTGCCCCAGCCTCCTGCACGCCCCCTGTGTGGAGGCCCCTCCCCTGCCTCACACCAAACTGGAAACTCCAGACTCCCAGCCAGGCACAGCCCTTGTGCTGTCTTCTCTTCAGTTCCATGACTAATCCAGGGCTGTGGACTGTCTTTGTTCATGCCTGGGGCTGGCCTAATTCAAAACGGGACTGTCTATGGTAGCTACTTCCCAGCTATTTTGTGTTGGGGATAATCTGGTCCTGCTTCACTCAGGACATCTGATCTAAACCTTCCATACCCTCTCTACCCCACCCCGGTCTTGTAGGTGGCTATGCTGACACCTGAACCATACCCTTTCAGAGGGGATTTGGGGCCTCCTGGGGGTAGGAAGCAGGTAGGGCTGAGTGTGCTGCTGCCATTCTGGGAATTAGTCATGAGGGACTCCCCTTTCCTGTAACCCCTGAAAAATAGCTCCAGACATGGAAATGTCTAGTGGGGCGTTGAGATTTCTAGTTTGACAACATTGATTCTGTTACCACTTCTGATTGTGCCTATTTCCTGATGCGTATTGTGGGAGAGAGACTGAGTTTTAATACAATGGAAGCTGCTTTAGCTCTGAAACAGCAAGGCCTGGGGGAAAACAGAAATGGACCAAGCAAACTGAAGGCAAAGCTGCCTGGCCATACAGGGGTGGAGACAGAAGATACAGTCCCGAAGGGATCAACTCTTGAGGAAAACTCACGAGGCAAGTTCTGGGGGAGCTGATGAACCCTGAAACAGATGAAAGATATGGACGGAGGGAGAAAAACCGGAGGTTAAGCAGCTGCTGGTCCCCTATGCAGGTGGCCTAAGAACCTTGAGACCCGTTGAGCCAGTTCTCAGTGCTGGGGGCAGTTTTCTCCAGGACCCCAGATTACTTCCCCAGGAAGTCCCGGTCTCTGGTAGAAGGAGCAGTGTTCTTACAGGAGAGGGTGAGCTTGAGATTTGTGTGGGAAGAAAGGCGTTGCAACTCTGAGGACTTGCCTCATTACAGCTGGGACGACTGACCTCTATAAGAATCACAGATCCATTTCCATTCTTTGAAAACTTTTAATTATTAAAACCTCAAACAAATGCAGGCATATAGGGGTACCAGCACTTCCATCCTGGATACCAGGTAGCTCTAGCCTTGGCAGGCAGGCATGATACAAGAAAACTCTTGTTACAGGTCCTTGTCAACTCTCAGGGGGATCTTCAGCAGGGGATAGAGGAAGCTCAGATGGCGTGGTCACAGGTAAAAGATCGCCCCAGGAGCTGACACGGGCGCAGCGATACAAATCCCTGTGAAATAGGGAAATCAAGGTGGGCTGTAGGTTCCTACCACTTCCCCCTAATTTTGGTCACAGCCTGTATACCTGCCGTGCCGGCGAGCTGTGATCACAGCATGCTGCACGTGCCCATCTGGACAGCACAGGTGACAATGCACATGGCGTGGCCGTTTAAGGACAGGCTGAGTGATCCGGGGCCAGCGAGTGGCCTCCCCGGAGACCCACGGGCAAGGATTACCATCGAGAACTTTTCCTCCTTTGGCTTCTTGTTCTAAGGTAAGGATAGAGAGACTGTTTGGGGGGAGAAAGATATGGGAAAAAATTTTTGACCCCATTCCTGCAGCCCTTTTCATATTCTGTGTCATACACATTCAGGACCTACAATCTCCAGGCTATTCAGTGAATTTTCCAACTCTTCCCACCGGTGATTCATTTTCATCCTGCTTTCCCAAGCTATTTCTCCCTGCTATAATATTCCCAGAATACATACCCAGCTGAAGGGGATGGGATGGTAAGCCTGGGAAAAGCTACAGGCCAGGGGCTTAGAGGCTGTCAGCTGGGGACAAGCAAGTTCATGGGGACACTGTAAACACACATAAAAAAACATGAGGTAAGACAAAGAACCACAGACCATAAAACTGAAAAACTAAGAGTGACAGGGTCAGGAAGGGCCAAGGATAAGGGAGCACAGGAGCAGGGGGAAGGGAAAGCAGGGAATCCACGAAGAACAACTTGGATAGGGGCACAAAGCAGTGGAGGGTGGCTTAGCTTTGCCCTCTCACTTGTCCTGGACACAGCTGAGCTCAGACCAGACCTTTGCATGCTGGGAAAGATAGAAGTAATACTCACTGGGGCAAAGACAAAACCAGGTCGAGGGTCCAGAGGTGACTTCTCCCTTCCCTGAAATAAAAGGAAACAAAAAAAAGTTTAGTTGGGCCTAAGGGGTCTATTCTTACAAGTCAATCTCTGCACTCAGTCAACTGAGGACTCCTTTAACATTCAATCCTGGTAATTTTTAACTCTGTTCTTTGAGTTAAGCTGGCCGCTTCTCTAAAACTCAAAACAAAGAACTCTTTGCAGTAGGAGAAGGGCAGGAACTTGGCACATAGGATGGTGCTCTCCTTGTCAGCAACTCCACTCTCAAAAAAACCCCACTCCAGGACAATTAAATTCAGGATTATACACTGGCTCATATACTCCCAAAGAGATCAAGTTTTTGGCTCAGCCATGTCCTAGGTCAGGGGTCAGCAAACTATTTTTGTTAAGGCCCAGAGAGTAGCCAAAATGTGTTTCTGTCCCAACTACTCAACTCTGCCATTTGTAGTGTGAGAGCAGCCGCACACAACAGACACTCCCATAAGCCCGGCTCACACACACACACAGGTGGCAGGCCAGGTTTGATCCACAGGCCCCAGTTTGCCAGCCACCACTCTGCATCATAATGACTTTGTGTGCCTACTTTCCTGAGAGTCACCCTTACCTTTTTATGATAGTCTTTTCAGTCTTCAAGAGAGTACTAGTCACTGGTGACAGAAAGGTGGGGGGCAGGAGGGCGAGAAGGAGAAAGAACCTTACCTTAAGGACCAGGTCCCTGGCTTCCATGAGAAGGCGGTGCCCTGCTTTAGTTCCACTCTCCACCAGTATCTGTTCACAAAGGGAGAGTGAGCAGAAGCCCTGAATTACATGACAACACAAAGGTCAGTACTCTGTAAGAGCATTCACACATGGAACAGCAGTCCTAAAGGAAAAAGCATTATATATAAAATGGGGATGGTGATCCTAAAAGAGGGACAAAAGACTCTACACAGGAGAAAAAAATGGTCAAAAACAAAGACAAGCTCCAATGTAGAGAAGGAAAAGCATAAAAACTGTGAGGCTGCTTTAAAGCTTGAAGGGAAAAAGCTATTTCTTTCTACTCACCAGAAAATCACTTGTTTTGCGCCACAAGGTTTGGACCACCTCAGCGCGGTCAGCCTTGCTGGGCAGTTCACTTAGGGAGAAGGCTGATACCACCACACTGAACTGTACCTGAGGACCAAGACAAGGAATGTGACAGACCCGCCATCACCCCCTTCCAAGAGCACAGTGAAGTTCTAGCTCCCTAAATTTCTTTTGTGGTCTTTTGTCTTCTAACATTCAAAGCTGGGTTGCAAAGCTGAGGCCAGTTTTCCATCTACCTAATTCTGCATTTAGCATACTCTACACATTGCCACTTGCCTTGGGTGATACTGGTAGAAACTGTCTGAAAAAGACACCTGGAACATATGGCTCCCCATATTCTGAACCACCTGTGGAGGAAAGCAGAGGTGTGCCAACCATAAGTGTATAGCAATGATTTCCAACCGGTGTGTCCCAAGAATTGTTAAAATGTGCAATACCTGACTCTTTAGTCAGGGGCACTGCCCTCTTTTCCCTTAGAATGTCAAATAAAAAATGGCAACAGTGAAATAAACAACAGCCATCCAGGGTGAATGAATCAAAATTATATCTATTTTTTTTTGTTAGATCAGCAAAAAATGTAACATTTTTTTGGTGTGCTGAAGAATTTTAGTAACTAATTTATATGTGCCATGGGATGAAAAAGGTTGAAAATGGCTGGTGTATAGGTATAAACTGAAGTGATATTCTGATAGGAAACATGGCCCTGAGAATAAAGAAAAATGCTAGGTGAGAGTGAGATGCATAGGTAAGAAAATATTGAAGAGGACAGGGAGAATATTAGGTAACCTGTCCTGTTCATGTTACCCAACCCATCCACAGTCCAACAAGGCCTCCATCACTCTCTGCTGGACCATAACAGTGAAAGGAGACCAGATTCATCTTCAACTTTTAGCTCTCTCCTTTACTCCCGAATAAAATAGACTTTTTAGTATTCCTTTGTTTTCTTAATTCCTTCAACTTTGGGAAAACCCTTCCTTATACCTTGTCCTCACCTTTCAGTAGTTTTTCTGCCAAATCCAACATGGCAGGTGACCTGTCCACACACACATATTCACGTAGGCTCTGGCCCCAAATACTATGAGCAGCCCTAAGATGACAAAATATAAACCACCACTTTTCATGACAAAGAATCATTACTACAAGAGACCCCTCTATCACGAACCCTACGTCTGGAGAAACAAATGTTGGAAAAACTAACAGTGCTATTTATTTAATTTACGACTCCTTAAAAAAAAAAAGGTAGACTCAAAAAAACTACTTGTAGGCAAAAAATTTTTTGATGATACATAAAACTTATGCCCTACACTAATTCTTCCCCCCTTTTTTTTCTTTACGAACGTGGGTCTCTTTTCACTTGATATTTAAGTTCTGGCCCTAATTGATATACCTTCTCATGTCTTGCCTATTCTGAGGGAAGAAACTTTCCTATTCTTCCTCTGGTTCCCCAGTCTCTTGATATTGGAGTGGTGTAAGCATGGTTCTCTAGAGCTACAAGGGATGGAGAGAAAGATACTCACCAGGTGACAGAACCAGTACCTGATCCAAAGTCCATCAAGGTTTGTGGCTGAAACCCTGGAATTTGAGCGTGGATCTGAAGAAATATACAATACCACACTGTAGGATAAGTAGACATTTATTTAGGGCTTTGCTAAATATGAATTAGGAGAACAAGATAGGAGGAATGAGATGTGATTGCATTTTGAGATGCAATACAAATACTTTTATAAAAGGAAGCTCCTAAATAGTGATTCTAATCCTTCCCTGGGTCACAATATCCCTACAGAAAATAAAGCCTCTTAAACAAATACACATGAAAATGTCCCAAGAATCCTACCCCAGAAGACTACTTTCTGAATAAGGGAACTGATGGTAAAAAAGGTCAGGTTGGAAGCTGTGGGACTTTCACCTCATGGAATGCCCTGGAGACTGCTGCAAAGCCACCATCCAGTCTTGCTGCCATATACACCAGGCTCAGTCCTTCATTATAGCTGCCAGAAAAATCAGAGTCATTTCCACTGAAAAATAACCTCTATCCCATAGCTACCTCTAGATTTTTAGGAAGTGAAATCTTTGGAAAGGGCTCTTCTGGTTAGCACTTTCCCTTCACAACACAGAAGAGTCCTGGGGAGCCTTGCAAACCAGGTTGCTTTTTAAAATACAAAATTGTGCAGTTGTACTTGTCCAACTTCCCTTCAAAAGACAAACCTTTCTTCTGCAGTTCCTCTAGCCTCCCTTACCTCAGTTCTTGCCAATGATAAGTAGTTTTACGCAGGGCACGCAGCACTGCTCCACGAAGTTTCTCCTCTGTCTGAGGTGAGTCTGGGATGAGAACAAGGACTGGAAGTGAGGACCTAGAAAGAACAGGGCTCAAATCCAATATTTGAATACACTGCCTGCCCATTCCTCCCCAACTCCCACTTGGGAAAAGCCTCAAAGGTTAAGAGAGAAGTCAATTCCAGAGAAAAATTTCAGGTAAGAGTAACAACAATCGTTACTACTACCATTGGAGCGTATCAAATAGTATTTTGTCTCTAACAGCAGTTTATTTACTTGATCCATCCCATCCCAGGGAATGTAGTCAAGATTTAAAGGATAGGAAAAGGACAATATTTTGTGGATTTCCTCACTTCCCCCAAACTTAATATTGT